ACGTGTACGCCGTCGGCTGCGAGAGTACGAGCGGAGCCCTTTAATCCAGACGCATTTCAGCGATGGCTTCTACCCTCAACGGCAAAATTCACGCGCCCGGGACTTGCCCGGGCTCCAAAGCCGATGCCCGTGGCGGCACTGGCTGGAGAATGGACTGTGATCCCGACATGCACGTGAAAATGTGCAAGAAGATCGCCCAGCTCACCAAGGTAAGGTGAGGCGCTGCGGGCCGGCGAGCTGCGCGCCCGGGGCGCCCCAGGCCGAGGAGGGAGTGCGGGCGCGTCCAGGGGAGGCCCAGACCGAATTCGAGCTGAAACTTTGGCTCAGAGGCCAACCCGGAAGGGAAGCGGTCCTAAATCTTGGTGACCTTCTGGAGGCACCACCGTGAGGCAGCTGAGAGAGAATTCTTGCCAAGGAAACTCCTACAGCTTGCAAGCTGAGCAGGAGGTCTGTACTTGCAAGATGCAAATGTGAATCGAGTTGAATCAGTGCTGTGGGTGTGTGTGTGTGTGTTTTCCTTTGCCGGCTCTGTTCAAGTGATCGTGCCTGGAATGTTGTGATTTCATTCATCGCCGTACTTTACAGGCGGGGAGGAGGTCATGTGGGCTATTTAAACACTTGATACATTTATTCCTTCATTCAATAAATATTTGAGTCATTTGTTGAGTACCAGCAGCTTGCGTGGCGCCTTACTCAACCTGGAAGGCAGCCCAGGGGACTTACTATCAAATTGGGTTTAGACGTGTGCGGGAGCGAGCATAAATGAGGAAGTGAACGATTCACCATTTAATTACGTGATTACAAAGGACCTTGTGGGGGGGGGGGGATCAGCCAGCCCCTCGCCCTACCTCATCCCGGGGCCCTGACTGAACCTCGGGGGCTGTGTTGTCCTCCTTCTGAAGCAGGAAGATACCACCCTGCCCTTTGTTAACTCCTACCCTCTCCCGAAGCCTGCCAAATTAGGAGCTTCTTGTGGTGGGTTCCCCTCTTGTGCCTTGTGTGTAGAGGGAAAACAACGCCCCTCTCTGTCTTCTATACTCGGTCCCGGGTGTCTGGATTTAGCTCTTTGCCTTGGGGTTTCCTGCGGATCTCATAATAAACTCCTGCTAGAATGCCTGCTAGTGGAAGGTCGGGTCCAGGTTCTGTTATGGGACTTGCTCTCTTTCCTCTCTCCCTCCCACTTCCCCACACTCACTTTCCCACTTCCCCACACCCCCATTTTTGTGGAATTACAGGCATTTTCCTTCCTGACTATTTTGCCAGAAGGAAGAGAGCACAGAGGCTTGGAATTGGACACTAGTGGCCTTCCCCCACCCCTCCCATTCACTTCTCCACATTTTTTGCATATGAACCTTTATCCTAACAGCCATCTCTTTAGTCAAGGGTGGAAAAAGAGAAATGAAGATACTCCTTGGAGGCCTTGGCATGTGCTGCTGGCACCGCTGATCTAACCTACATTCATCTGAATGGTGATATTGACTCCAAAAAAGTATTGATTTGCAGTGCTGGGCACAGTATAAGGCATCCTCTCTGTCTTCAAAGAACCTAAAATATTTTTGGAGAAACAAGGTTGGAGAGAAAACTCAAAGACCCTGCTATATAATCAGTTAAACTGGGTATTTCAATTTTTGAGTACTGTAAAAGTAGAAAGAAACGATAAACCATTATGAGTAAGAACAATTAGGAGAGATTTTTATGAAAGAGATGAACCTTGAACTCAGTTTGAATTTATGGAGTCCCTACTGTGTGCCCGGCACTGTGCTCAATATTGAGGGCATGAAACTGAGTAAGACAGGGCCCCTGCCCATGTGATATGACAAATATATCAACAGATCATTTTCATGTAATGTGGTAATGTTCATCATTCTGCCCATTAATATTTATGGCACACTGTGTGCCAAGCACTGAGGATACGGCAGTGAAGAAAGCAGCCACGATCCCTAGCACATAGTAGGTAGTGAGTGTTTCTCAAAGTATATTCTGCACTAGAAATCACGCTTGATTCTTATTATGTAGTGCCTCTCTTTACCATTTTTCATGCTCATTGCTTAAATTAGACATTTTTAATATTGATATTAATATGCCTCCTTTCTTTTGGCTACTGTTTGTCCTATTTTTCATCTCTTTATGTATACTTAATCATTCTATAAGCTTTATTTTAGTTGTATCTCTGATAGGTAAACTTAACCCATGTGCATTTATTGTGATTACTAATATATTGGGGCTTATTCTTCTGTAATATTTTGTGCTTTTCATTTTCTATCATTTTTTATTCTTCCTTTTTCTCCATCCCAGCTTCCTCTTGGATTAGTTAACTGATCTACATTTCCTCCTTTTCCACTGCTGGTTTGAGGGCTTCAGGCATTATTCCTTTCCTTCTCAGAATGGTCTTTTATGTTTCCACATACATATTTAACCATAATTTTTCTAACAAAATCATCATGGAATTCTTTCTTCCTACAAAAGAGCTCTGCGTACTCTACCCAGGTAACAGCCCTCCCCTTTCCCATCTTGTCATTGTCGTCTTGCTTTTTACTTTCTTACATTTAAAAATTGTTTTTATAGTCGCATTAATTAAATGTACTAACATTTCACCAATTCTTCTACTTGCTACTTTTTTTTCTTGAATCTAAAGTCTTTTTGGGTTCACTTTTGTTCTAGTTGAAGTTCATCCTTTAATAGTTCTTTCTGTAGAGGTCTTGCTGGGGGAAAGAATTCTTTGTATGTTTGAAAATGTCTTTGTTTTGCTCTCATGGTTGGATGGTCACTTATTTGGATAGAAGCTCTGGTGAACAGTTCTTTTCCCATAGCACAATGATGATAGGGCCTTACTATCTTCTGGTAGTAATTGCTGCTGGTAAAAATCCTACTGCCAATCAAATTTTCATTCCTTTGTAGGTAACCTGCCTTTTCTCTTGATCACATTTAAGATCTGTGTGTGTTTATTTTGGTGTTTAGCAGTTTCACTAGAACTCTCTAGTTGTGAGTGTACTTTCTATTGAAGATGCTGCGCTCTCTTTAATTCTGGAAAATTGTTGTTTTTCTCTTCAAATATTGTTTCTCTGCCATTGCCTCCATTCATTTTTCTGGATGAAGCCTCTCCATCTATATTCTGAAATGTTATTAAATTGTTTTTGTCTCTGTTGTATCCTGGTGAAATCCTTAATCCTGTCTTCCTATTTGCCATCCTCTAAATAATTTGTCCAGTCCAGAGCCTTTTGCACCTGTTTAGTTTTAGAATTACCTTTTGATTTCTACGATTGCTGTTCTTATTTCCTTTCTGTCTGATTTTGATCCCTTCTTAATTTTTATAGTTGTCTTGAAATATAATTTACATAGTATGAAATTCATCTAAGTGTACATACAATTCTACATTTTTTAGTAACTTTACAGACGTGTTGCACCATAACCATAATCCAGTTTTAGGACATTTCTGTCACCATCCTTTGTATCCATTTATAGTCAGTCCCTATTCCCACACTAATGCCAGACAACCATTAATCTACTTTCTGTCTCTATAAAGTTGTCTTTTCCAGACATTTCATATCAGTGAAATGATACAACATGTGGTATTTCCATCTGGCTTTTTTCACTTAGTTGCTAAATCTTAGCATGTTTTTGAGGTTCATCGATTGTTGGAACATATACCATTCATTCACTCCCTTTTATTACTCAGAGTACCCCATTGTACAGCTATGCCATTTTCTGATTATCCATTCTCCAGTTAATAGGCATTTGGATTGTTTCCACTTTGGGACTCCTATGAGTAATGCTGCTATGAATATTACATTCATGCACACAAATTTTTGTTACTCTTGAAAAAATACCTATGGAATGGGATTGTTGGGCTGTATGGTAAGTTTATGTTTGACTTTTTAAGAAACTACCAAACTATTTTCCAAAAGTGGCTGTACCATCTTGCATTTTCCAGCCTGCTTTTCCGGGAAGATCTAGTACAACCCCACGCACCCAGTTCTCAAATCCTTTGTTATGTGCAGTCCTTTCCTTGCCTTGCTATGCACTCATATTCCTATTTTTGCTCTTGTGAAATGGCTTCATCTCTAAAAATTGAATCCTACTTGTCTTTTAAGTCTCACTTCCCCCAAGAAAAACCTCACTCTTGTAATTAATCATGTATTCATTAATTATTAATCGTGTATGCATTATGTTTTTCTTATTAATCTGTTTTTGTAGGAGTTCATACAATGCCTGGCACATAGTAGACCTTCAGTAGGCTTGTTAAGTTTAATTAAAGTTTCCTCCTAAAGATTTGGTTTATATTTCTTTTATCATACTTACCCATCTGATATTACAGTTTGTTTGTATATAGTATGTCCCTTAAAGTAATAAGCTCCTTCATTTATTCACAATCCTTTGCACCTGGTAAACACTCTCTAAGTGTTGATGTAGTAAATATTCACTTACACAGTGGTCCCAAATCCAAGAGGCACATTAAAATCACCGGGAGAGCTTTTAAGACCACACCAGTGAGAAGACAACTAAATGCAGTGCCTGATCCTAGCCTGGATTCTATCCTGGAGGGAAACATGCTACAAGGAGATGGTTGGGTCAGGTGACAAACTGAATAGATGACAGAGAAAATAAAAGTATTTGTATCAATGTTAGATTTACTGGGGTTGACATGTATCCTGTGGCTATGTGGGCAAATACTCTCATTTTGAGGAAATGTACCTTGAACTATGTCTTACTTTTAAGGAAGTGAATGTGATGTCTTATTCCCAGAGAATTTTACCTTATAAATAAAATAGAGGAAAGGGAAAATAGAAACAGAGCAAAGGATAAAACAAATGGAACAAAATGTTAAGAATAAGTGAACCTGAGTAAGGAGTATGTGATGTTCTTTGAACTGTTCTTTTGCTGGCAGTTTTTTCCCCTGTGTCTGAAATTATTTCTAAAGAAAAGTTAAGAACAAACAAACAAAAAGCATACAAGTCCCCGGTGGTCATCTTAGAAGGAGGGGAGAGAAGTGACAGGCCCTGCTATTTTCTCAAAGCCCCCCAGGAGCGCTAGCATTCACACAGGGTTGAGAACCACCGGTTTTGAACAACTAAAGATTAAACAAACAAACAAACAAAACAACTAAAAGTTGAAACAGTAGAGTGGGCACAGAGGGGTTAATTGGGAGAACAGGAGGTTCCAAATCCTTTAAAACCTGTGGGATGCTTTGGTCTTGAAAGCATCAGGCAGT